GGAAGAATAGACATATAGGATCTTCCATCTGATAATGTGACTACCATACTTACATTGAAATCAGGGGTGAAACAGGGAAGCCTGGCGTGCTGCAGTCCATGGGGTCGCAAAGAGTTGGCCATGACTGAGCAACTGAACTGACTGATACATAAAAAGGAAAAATCTAGTGCTATCTGCAGAGATGTGGGTGGTCCTAGAGATTGTCATATAGAGTGAAGTAAGTCAGAAAGAGAAAAATAAATGTCATATAACATCATCTGTATGTGAAATCTAGAACAATGGTTCAAATGAACGTATTTGCAAAGCGGAAATAGAGCCACAGACGTAGAGAACAAACTTTGGTCACCAAGGGGGAAGAGGAGTAGGGTGAGTTGGGAGACTGGGGTTGACGTGTATGTACTACCATGTCTAAGACAGCCCACTAATGAGGACATACTGAACAGCACAGTGATCTGTGGTGACCTAAATGGGAAGGAAATCTGAAAATGAGTATATATGTATCCATGTAACTGATTCTCTTTTGTGTACATCAGAAACTAATACAACATTGTAAAGCAAATACATTTCAATCAGTTCAGTCACTCAGTCATGTCCGACTCTGCGAACCCAGGAATCGCAGCACTCCAGTCCATCACCAACTCCCAGGGTTTACTCAAACTCATGCCCATTGAGTCAGTGATGCCATCCAACCAACTCATCCTCTGTCATCCCCTACTCCTCCTGCCCCCAATCCCTCCCAGCATCAGGGTCTTTTCAAATGAGTCAGCTCTTCACATCAGGTATCCAAAGTACTGGAGTTTCAGCTTCAGCATCAGTCCTTCCAATGAACACCCAGGACTGATCTCCTTTAGGATGGACTGGTTGGATCTCCTTGCAGTCCAAGGGACTCTCAAGAGCCTTCTCCAACACCACAGTTCAAAAGCATCGATTCTTCTGTGCTCAGCTTTTTTTATAGTCTAACTCTCACATCCATACATGACCACTGGAAAAACCATAACCTTGACTAGATGGACCGTTGTTGGCAAAGTAATGTCTCTGCTTTTTAATATGCTATCTAGGTTGGTCATAACTTGGTCTTTCAATTTCATGGCTGCAATCACCATCATACACTTCAATAAAAATTAATTTAAAAATTAATAAATCAGGAATTTATTCTACAAACAGTAAATTTATTCTACAAATAATTCTACAAACAGTAGAATTTAGGTACATAAATTTTGGAGTAATACAGAGTCATATGAATTTCACAAGTCCCTTCCCTTCTATGAGCCTCTTTTTTTGCGTATCTGTACAATTGAGCTAATGATACACATTTAACAAGACTGACACCATTAGATCTGTCATCATGACAGATCTTCTCTTAGATTGCAATTAAAGAAAAAGAAGAATAAACAGGAAAAGCATTGTAAACCTTTCAGGATGGCATCTCACTATACAATTTAGTCTTTCAAAATGTCTCTTCTTTGCTTCCCTCTTCTCTGATTCTCTGCTTTTTGCAGCTCCCATTGCTTTTTCTTGAGTCACGTGTTGAAAAGGCATGGTCATGGAAGTTTCTCATTTCGCTTTCCAGAGTTTTTGTCCAAGGGCTGAGCTCACCTGCATGCTGTGGGAAAGGTGATTCTCAGGGCACTGGAGGAGCTGTGCCAGTGACCCTGATATTGGTTCACTTACCTTTTAATGGAGTAGCCCCACCTGGAATCTTCAAGAATACACACCATGGAGTAGGGATCCTGTTTCAAAGGGAGCTTCCCCTGTATCTGGAGACTCTCTGATAGTCCTGAGAATGCCAGGGATGGGGGTTGGTGCCCTAGCCCTAGTCTCTTGTTTTACACTCTTATGTTTCAGTGTCACAGACAGTTGTTGCTGTTTAGTTGCGACTTCATGTCTGACTCTCTTGCAACCCCATGGACTACAGCCCACCAGGCTCCTCTGTCCATGAGATTTCCCAGGTAAGAATACTGGAGTAGATTGCCATTTCCTTCTCCAGGGGATCTTCTTGACCCAAGGATTTAACCCGAGTCTCCTGCATTGGCAAGCAGATTCTTTACCACTGAGTGACTGACATTCTTGAATACTACTGAACTCAAGGGATACATGAAATGGCATATCCTTTTTCTGCTTGTATCAGTAAGAGCAATAGAACCTCTAGGAAACCGTATCTACATCTACATCTATTTCATCTATGTATAGATCTGTCAATAGCTCTTCATCTGTGTCAGTATCTGAATCTCTGTTTCTATTTCTAGCTATGATGGCATGGGGAGGGAGGTGGGAGGAGGGATCGGGATGGGGAACACATGTAAATCCACGGCTGATTCATGTCAATGTATGGCAAAAACCACTACAATATTGTAAAGTAACTAGCCTCCAACTAATAAAAATAAATGAAAAAAAAAAAAGAAAAGAAAATGAAAAGGATTTGCTTGTTAAAGAGATTTGACTTTATTTAGTTGTGGGAGCTGATTATGTCGTCTCTAGTAAGACTGATTATGTCGTCTCTAGTCCTCAGGTCTGCAGCTGGAAGTGGAAGTTCAGGTCATCCAGAAGGGTAGTGGATGTAAACGTGGAGGAGAGTAAGAACAAGCTGGAGCTCACAAGGATAAGCTGAAATCTGTCANAGGGTAGTGGATGTAAACGTGGAGGAGAGTAAGAACAAGCTGGAGCTCACAAGGATAAGCTGAAATCTGTCAGTTTTATTACCACTTACCTAGACAGCCTGAGTATCTCATCGAAGCTGCAGCCCTTCCCGGTGGAAGGAAGCATGCACCAGACCCAGAAGTTGGAATGGCCGAAGGAGGACTTTGGTGAAGGTGGGAGAGTTACAAGTTTCCTTACCGCCTCATGCTGACGAGATAAGCCAGCAGATATACAACTGTTACAGCAAAGGAGTGGGCCATCGTCTATAACACAATGTATACTGTAAAAGAAAAATTGCTTAGCATGCTGGTTACAAATGGCAAGGCAGATTTTATTTGAGCTACTGCAGTAGGGGAAAGAGACTTCAGTCTAGAACTGAACTCGACTCCAAACACAGCAAAGGCATGTGGGGATTTATATCCCACGCACAGTGAGGGGGTCAGTGAATGGAGAAAAACTAAGAGGAACTTGATTAGATAGCAGCAGTGTGGGTATTCTTGCTAAACTGTGCTCAGCAAACCAAAGGATGAGGGCTCAAAGGAGTCTCGTTTAAGTTTGGTCAAGGAGGGCTTCCTTGTCAGTGTGAAACATTAAAATGATTGCTGCTTCACTTCTGTTTTCTAAATCTTACTCAAGAATATTCCTTATGGGGTCTTCCTGGATGGTCCAGTGGCTAAGACTTCACACTCCCAGTGCAGGGGTCCCTGAGCTTGATCCCTGGTCAGGGAATTAGATCCCACGTGTTGTGACTGAAGAGTTCAAATGCCACAACTAAGACCCAGCACAGTCAACTAAACAAACAAGCTAAAATTAGGGGGAAAAAAAAGAATTCTTCCTCATGGTTCATTTTAACTGAGAAATTTGGGAAATGTAGTTCAGCATAGTCAAATGTGTAGTTAACACATTGCAAACCTACCACACTGTTATTTGTGGAGGTGCGGGGGTCATGCTTCTTTTTCTAGTCTTATTTTCCTGCTGTGAAATCCAGGACACAGGGAGTGGGCTCACTCACTGTCTCTCCTGAAAGCAGGTAGGAGACTGAGTGGCAGGATATCGGCTAACTCTGCCCTCTGCTTCTGCTCTGTTTTTGCCTTTTTCTCCCCCAAAAATTGTATTTTACCCTCATTTAAAATATCTTCTTGTGATAAGAACATAACATGGGATTTATCCTCTTAAATCTTCAGTGTGCGTTATTGTTGACTATCACTATAATGTTGTCCATCTCTAGAGCTTATTCATATTACTTAGCTAAAACTTTATGACTTCTGATTAATAATTACCCACTCCCCCCCTGGTCTCAGCCCCTGGTAACCACCATCCCACTCTTTGACTTTATGGATTTGACTATTTTAGATACCTCATTTAAGTATAATCATGCAATACTTATCTCTCTGTGTGTGGTTATTTCACATACTGTAATTCAATTTTTTTTTTAATTTTTGTAATTCTATTTTAAGGTGAACATTCTGGTCTCCTTCCCTCACTTCTAGGTCCTTCTCTCCAGGACAGAAGGGGAGGCATACTTTCATTTGGGTTGTGAACCTGCTCATGTTTATTGAGATCTATATAGCATTGTTACTGGGCTTTCTGGTGAATCAGATGCAGTCTGCCAGAAAATAGCCATTGACTGGCAACCAAAGCAAAAACATAAACAATTTTATGTTCATTTACTCTTAAAGGACAATATGGAAATAATTTACATCTAAGGCAGGGAGTGTCCTCCAAGTTTAAGAGACTTTAGAGGTGCTCAGGACGACATTTTGCATTGTGGAGTCAACATATTTAAGAGCTATTAAAGCTCAGGCCTTGCTCAGATGTTCAAGACCTTTGTTCCTTCTGTCCAGGGTGGCCTCCTCCTGTCTTTCCTGACCTCATCTTTCTGCACGTGACCCAGGCCACCAGAATGGTGGCTGGTTAGGGGACAGACTTAAGTTGCAGGGTCTTTCACTCCCTCACGTTGTTAATTTGTTTCTTTTTTTTTTTTTTNCCATAAACACTCTTAAATGGTTGTTTCCAGAGGAAAAAAAACTGGGAATATGTTTGGGAAGGAGTGAAGTAGAGTAGAAAACCCTTGCTTTTTGCTGTAATACCTGTCTCAATGACATTTTTCTTCCATCTGATCATATTATTTTGATGATAATTTTTTAAAAAGTCAAACTAACCCTTTCAAGCAATCTTACATTATTTTACCTGGATGCATCACATGCATTTTGTTAGTGATTGAACACAGGCTCTATTTAACAAAGGTGGGAAAAAAGGGCAGCACTCTTTTGTTTCAGAGAACCCATGAACATCATTTCTACCAATATAGGCAGGAAAAGTCATCAGCTGTCATTTATGCAGAATTTTAAAATTCTGTTACAATGGATAAAGAGAGGAAGATACAGCTCAAGAGAGTATTTGGATGTTGCTGGGCACGAGGTTTCTACTTGCTGACGTTTCTGACTGGAGCACACGTTTTTGTGGCCCTCGAAGGGATATTGAAGTCCTCGTGCATGAATCCGGGGCTCTCCCTGAGCACCTAGGTTGACTGGGTGGGCCCTGTGGTCCTTTATGACCCCTCTCTGCTCAGCAGAGGTAGGCGTGACCTTCCCATGCAGTGGAGCTCACTACTGTTTTCTCAAGAGGTGTTTTGGCAATGTGATTTCTTTCCTGAATTTCTGGACCACCTTTCTGGGCCCAGGACTCGCTGCCAGGCAGGCTCCGCTCCTTGCTGAGTACAGCATCCAGCCTTTTTATCCCAGCTGCTCTGCTCCAAAGCTGCTGAAGAAATGTCTGGCACTGGGAGTTCTGAGTTCTCGTGGTGTGAGAGAGGTGACTCGGCTTCAGATAGGCAGCATGATGCTGAAAATGGCCATCCACGGCCTTCTTTCCCTAAGTGCAATAGTGTTGCCGGTGAAAGGGAGAAGGGAGAAGCTAGAATTATTTCAGAACTCTTTCAATGCTGAGTTTCCAGAAGCCTCCCAGTTGACAGAAGCCATCTTCCAAGGATATTTTGCATATTCAGATGGGAGATGCTTTATGTATCCAGCAGGTAACCCACAATACCTTGAGAAAAACAAATCTCGAGCCATGACCTGTTGTATGCAATGTGAAGTGCACATCTTTTATTATACTTTGTGTCTTATTTAAATTAAATAATATTTTCTTCTTTATTATTTTCCAAATCAGATCAGAATATGCCAGCTCTGCAATTATCACCAACTCTTAATTTTTTCCAGTTATTCCAAAGTACTTATTTTCTTGAATAACTTCTCTTTTTCAGCTTTCTTTTCTGGGACAGCAGATAGGGGACTTATGTGCCAATCTAGTTTTTATTCTATTAATGGATGAATTCTCAGAGTGTGGAAATAGTCCTTGTTCATGAAACTGTGAATCTAAGAATAATCCAATGCCAGACTAGACTTGTGTTATTGGTGAGTGTGACATATTCAGGCTTTTAAATGTTTTTAAAAAGAATAGAATCCTGGATTTCCTTGATTGCTCTGAGGTCAGATTCAGTACTCTTCCCTTCACTGTCAGGATACAAGTTCTGTCTTCATTTTCAAAGTCAGCCTCTTCCCTTGACCTCCACCTGTACACTTTCCCTCTCACGTCCTCGGGAAACTTTCACACTTATTACATCATGTTTCTCAGCTTCAACCTTCTTATCGCTGTTTTTCTTGGACATTTAAACATGAAGCAGACTCTCTACTACTGAAAAAAATGTTTCCTTAATCTTAGGACCCCCTGTAGTCACTGATGTGTCCATCATCTATTAACTGTCTTGTCAGCAGGTATTTTTTGAAACACGGATGATTTTTAAAGCCCTGTATTAGTGCTGTAAGATCAGTAAGATGTATTCTTTCTACCAAAGAGGTTTGAAGCAGTAGAAGAGGCTCTCCCTAGATTTGTGGCCTGACTTCTGCCACTTCCTAGCTGTGCTAAGTGTCTTTATCTCTCTGCACTTCACCCTCCTTCGTCTGAAAAATAGGCAGTATTGCTTAAAGTCACCATAATTCTGTGACTTATGAATAAGTAATGATATGATAGTATGTCGTAAGTGGCTGTAAGGGAACAATACAATTACAATGGAAATTCAGTGGAAGATAAAACCACCTTCTGCTGTTTCGTCTAGTGGAAAAGATAACAATTTTAATGGGACCCTCCAAAAAATTCCAGCAGTAGAAAAATCTGAATGAAGCTGTGGAGACCAGAAGTGTGCAGATGTGTGTAAGTCATGGCACACAATCTTAGGTAACTGCCAGATTGTTTCCGCCTCACCAGCTTGATAATCAATCCAGTTGTTAGGTCGAGCACCTAGAATGAGGAAGAGCAAGATGACATAGGATTGGAGACAGATGACGGAGAATGTCAGCTTTTAGGAGGCAGATGGAGAAAGAGGATTTGATAAAGAAGCCAGAGGAAGTCTAGAGAATTATGAAAGAAAATCACCAAGTTTCCAAAGGAGAGAGTGTAATCCACATCGTGAAATGCTTCAGAAGCTGAAGAGTGTGAGAAATGATCAAAAACAATTTTACTAACCAAGAGGTCGTTGGTGGATTTTGAGCAAGAGAGGAAAGGCACTCAGCATTGAATTTGAAACTGAGATATTGAGAAAAGAAAACTACAAGAGATCAGTGTTTTATAATTAAATGGGCCACTGCCATTTGAGAGGATAATGAGCAAAACTTTCTTTTCCTCTCTCTCTCTCACACACATTGTCCTTTTCTCTTTTAAAAACAGGAATCTTTGGCTTCTGTTTGTGCCAATTTCATCTTGTTTCTTTGCCAACGGTGTTTCATTGCTAGACGACTCTGCTGTAAACAAATTAACAAAATTTGCTAACCTATCAACTATTACAGAACTCTTCAAAACCCGCGAGCAGTAAACAAAAGCTGGAGGAACTGGGGCATATGCTGGGATTGTTAATTTACTTAATAACTTTTAAGCATAACTAAATTCTAAGTAACACTTTTACCAGTAAAATGGTAATTTGTAGGCAGCTGCCTTTGCCTACTGCGGGAACATTCATCTTTTAAGTTCAAAACCAAGGATATTCACCACTTATATAGCTATTATATTATATATTTTATTGTATTATATTCCTTATCTCTGATGTAGCAATCTAATACATAATGAGAAATAGCAAAAGGCCCAAAGGAAAGAACAGGTAATCCTAAAAGTTGCCCTTTAGCTTGCTCAAAAGCTTTAACTAATAACATAGTCATTAATAACTTATTAAGTGCTAGGGATTTGATTGGAATTTTATTGTCTCTATATTTTCCAATTACCCCCAATATACAGGTAAGGAAATTGAAAGCTTGATGGTCAGTAAATCATCCAGAAGCCCATAGGAATAAGTGGGTGAGGCAGCACCTCAATGAGAGCTTTTTAAGTCTTTACTCTTCAGGCCTCAATCAGCCCATATCGGTGTGTGCCAGGGACAGTGCATTCAACCCCTGGGTGGATGTAGATGGAAGGCGTTTGATATCTGTCAAAGGACAAACATGTATTAGTCAGAGGTATTTGGCTTTAAGTAACAGAAACTCACACACATTAGCTTAAACAAGAAGAAGGAAACGGGCTAGAAGAACAATGCTGTATTTCAAGGAAGACCTGAGCAACCAGTCTTCAGGAACAACAGAAATCAAGGAAGCTCTAGGACTTAAAAATTAAAGTTATCAGTTGCCTATTCTGCAAACACTGAGAGCTTTTTTCCTGGTTCTCTCAGCTTTGTTGACATATGGTTCAAATCTTTGCAAGAAATCTTGTGTACTGGCAATGATAGGCTTCTGGGGAATCAGAGGTCTGTGCGTGGTGCTGTTACCTATTACCAGGGCCCAGGGTCACATTGTATACACATAGCTATAGTGTTCAATTCTTTATGTCAGGGAGAGTTCTCAGAAAATGGTAAGGCTGGGGAAAATGGTGTCATAAATGGGACAATATTTAGAATAAGACTATCCTGGAAAATCATTATATATATAAATGCTAAATCATGATCTCTTCTGCACTGAATATTGGTGTAAAGGAAAGCTTAGAAGTCTACAGGGAAAGAGTACTTCTGACTGACTCTTTTACTCTTTCCACAGATGCTATGAGAATGTAAATAGGACAATTTTGTTGGCCTAGGAGAATTTTGATAGACAGAGTGCCTGACGAACTATGGACAGAGGTTCTTGACATTATACAGGAGGCTGTGACCAAGACCATCCCCAAGAAGAAGAAATGCGAGAAGGCAAAATGGTTGTCTGAGGAGGCCTTACAAATAGCTGAGAAAAGAAGAGAAGCAAGAGGAAAAAGAGAAAAGGAAAGATATATCCATCTGAATGCAGAGTTCCAAAGAATAGCAAGGAGAGATAAGAAAGCCTTCCTCAGTGATCNGACTGGTTCAAAATTGGAAAAGGAGTACGTTAAGGCTGATTATTGTCACGCTGCTTATTTAACTTATATGCAAAGTACATCATGAAAAATCTTGGGCTGGATGAAACACAAGCTGGAATCAAGACTGCCAGAAGTATCAGTAACCTCAGGTATGCAGATGGTACCACCCTAAGCGCAGAAAGCGAAGAGGAACTAAAGAACCTGTTGATGAAGGTGAAAGAGGAGAGTGAGAAGCTGGTTCTTTTAAAACTCAGCCTTTGGAAAACTAAGATCATGGCATCATGGAAAATAGTTAGAGAAAAAATTGAAACAGTGACAGACTTTCTTTTCTTGGTCTCCAAAATCACTGCAGATGGTGACTGCAGACATGAAATTAAGAGATGCTTGCCCCTTGGAAGCAAAGCCATGGCAGACCTAGACAGGGTTAAAAAGCGGAGACATCACTTTGCTGACAAAGGTCCGTCTAGTCGAAGCTGTGGTTTTTCCCGTAGTTGTGTACGGTAGTGAGAGTTCAACCATACAGAAGACTGAGGGCTGAAGGACTGATTCCTTTGAATGTGGGGCTGGAGGAGACTCTTGCGAGTCCCTTGGACTACAAGGAGATCCAACCGGCCCATCCTAAAGGAAATCAACCCTGAATATTCATTGGAAGGACTGATGCTGACACTGAAACTCCATTACTTTGGCCACCTGCTGTGAAGAGCCGACTCATTGGAAGAGACTGGTGCTGGGAAAGATTGAGGGCAGGAGGAGAATGAGGCAACAGAGAATGAGACTCAGTGGACGTGAGTTTGAGCAAACTCCAGAGATAGTGAAGGACAGGGAACCTGGCGTGCTGCAGTCCCTGGGGTCTCAGAGTTAGACATGACTGAGTGACTGAACAAGGAGAGTGTTCGCTCCTCTTTTCCCAGAAGAAGCTATGGTTGCTGAAGGAAGGGTTAATGTCAATTAGGCAACTAGAAAAGGCAGTGAGAGAACAGGCTGAGGGCAGCAGGGAGTACATTTTTGAGGAACTGAAAGAAATTTGGTGTGCCTGTAATGCAGATAGCAAAAGGGACCATCAAATTTTCATGTATTTCCACAGCCCTTTCTCTTTTATATGGACACTTACCACAGTCACTATTCTAACTTTTCTTTATGTGATCATTGAGTTAATCATAGTTCTTCTCATAATCTTAAGGTAATAAAGATATATTTTAAAATGAGTAAGAGATTCAAGGAATAAAAGGAAATTTGGGAAAAAATGAGGAACAGGAAGTAGGAGAGGGCGAGCTTCCTGTTTGTTTTTGCTTACCATTGTATTCCCACTGCTCAAACTCAGCGCCGAGTACCTAACAGAGAAGCCTGAAGACACAGGTGGACTCTGAACCCACAGGGTCTTATGGGCTCAGCTTCCACTTTCATTCTTGTGCCTTTAATTCAGAAATTTTACCATACTGTTCACTTAGCACCAAGCTCTGAAGGGAGAGTGTACGTGTAGTAGTTACTATCATGGGTGTTTGTGCATATTAGAGTGTGGGGGGGCGGGGGGTAGTGGCCCCGGTGAATAGGAAGAATCCAGCCCAACACTTCATACATGGAACTGTTGTGGCCACGCGTTCCGGGAAACAAACTCACTCAGGACAGTGCAGATAGTGGAGAGCAGTTCATTACACCGGCGGGCCCAAGGCAGAGCCTCTTCTTAGCCAAGGGCCCTGACCAGTTTTTGTGAAAACCTTATATACTCTAAGTGTACGTGTCCAAACCCATCTCCCCAAATTCCCTGGAACTAGTCTGAACAAAGGAAAAGAAAGATACAGTCAAAGTTAACCCGTGATTTGTATGCCTTAAGCCTAGGTAGTTAACAGTGGACAATTATCAATAGGCCTGTGGTCATACCCCAATAAGCATAATAGAATTTATGATTCTATAAGGTTACACAGATAATTAGGGTATTTTTTTAGGTGACAGAGAGTCTAGGTATGAGCCCTGGGTCTCTTCCTTCTGAAGGGTCTGATTTTCCAGTTTGTGTGCCATTTCCACAGATACTGGGCATAGAGCTCAAAGTCCACAGTCCAGCCCAAGATGGAGTCCTGCTTTCAAGATGGAGCCTGTTCTGTCTGTTTCCTTCAGAACAATTTTAAAGATAAATTTAAGACATAAGATTTACCAGTTGTGATTTTGTTCTTTTATGTCTTTCAGGCGAGCTAAAGAAACCCAGAAAGAATTCAAAAGTACTTATTTCTTGCATTCCCTCTGGTAACTCTTGTTTATTTCCTGGTTAACATTTCCTACCTGACTGTTCTGACCCCCAAGGAAATGCTCTCTTCAGGTTTGTATGTAAATTGCTAAGACAATAAATAATAAAGATGGTATATGTAAGTATCCCTTTACCAGTTGGAACTGTTGTTTGCTCTTCACTATTTTATAGAGAATCTATTGTAATTTTTGAAAATGACTGAGGTGACAAAGAGTATGATTTGGTTAAGAAAAGAGTTTCACATTTAAGCATGGTAATATGTTTTTTGTTAATATGGAATAATATACATAATGCTGGCATATGATGCAGACTGATTCAGTACTAGTATTCCTTTCATGATTTCCTCTCACCAGAGTGATGCTGTGTAATCAGAGCTTATATCTACTAAAATTTTGACAATGTGTATTTTCCAAATATTCTGCTAGGTGACATAAAGAATGATAAACTTGAAATGTAGGACATTAGCAATTAAAAGAATAGATGCTAATGGATGCTAATGTATATAGTTAATATGATAAATATTAATATGCAATATAATGTCATTATTTATCATAAGTAACTCTAAACTATATGGGGGCAAAGGGCCCTGAACATATTGAAAAGTTGACTAAAAGATAACTATTTGAGATCCCTAATTGTAGAATAAAAAATGAAATAAGAAAATCTTAAGGAAATAAACATATATTTAAAAATGAGCAACAGATGCAAGGAATAAAAGGAAATTTGGAAAAAAATAATGAGGAACAGGAAATATGAGAGACTAGCAATTTCCTCAAACCAGCATTAGACTCTGAGCAACTGCCTTCTGTGATAAGCTATCAGCCAGTACCTTTGGAACTAATCTCTTTTGAGTAGTTATTACTGCTTTAGTAAATCTTTGGAGCACTGGAAATAAGCCTAGGGGAGGTTTAATATAAACGTCCTAACACACTTTGCCTGAGGTCTTGAGTTTCTGCCATGTAGGAAGTTGCCATATGCATGGTATCAGTGTTGATTCACAGCGGTCTAGCTCTCTTAGGGAGCTATATGCTGGAAATAATCAAGATTCTGAGAATTTATAAGAACAACCTGACTGCTAAATTGGATAAAAGCAAGTAGTGTGTTAGTTGCTCAGTCATATCCAACTCTTTGCAACACCGTGGACCGTAGTCTGCCAGGCTCCTCTGTCTATGGAATTCTCCAGGCAAGAATGCTGGAGTGGGTAGCCCTCCTTTCTCCAGGGATCTTCCCAACCCAGGGATCAAATCCAGGTCTCTTGCATTGAAGGTGGATTCTTTACCATCTGAGCCACCAGGGGAGCCCTCTACTTTGATTATGTAGAAAATAAATTTACAAAGGTAGCTAGCTATAGATGTGGTCAGGGCTGTTGGTCAGCTGGCTAGCTGTAATGGCTCACTGAAGCCGACATCTGTTATGGCCAGTGCTATGGTCATAAAGATTGTGAAAAATAATGAATATCTCTTCTCAGGTGTCATAATAGTTGCAGCATTTTTGTGGGTGGAATAGTAATTTTGGTATGTGTGGAAGACTCATGAAGTGTTTTGACCTGTCTCTTATAAACATNTCTATTTTTATTGTACTATGAACTTAAACTAAGAAAAAAATCAGAGCTATACATGAAAACTGTATGTATAGAGACAACCATCATAACATTATCTGAGGGAGCAAAAAATTAAAGATCACCAAAATATTCAATAAATTTGAAATAGATAAATAATTCCTAGGAAGTCATATAACAGACCATTCTGAGCTTTTCCAAAGATCATATTTTTGAAGAATGCTTAAAGTAAAAAGACAATAATGAGAGGATTTCATTGTACCTACCACTAGCGCCTCCTGCGGGCTTCCCAGGTGCGCTAACGGTAGAGAACCCGCCGGCCAAAGCAGGAGACTTAAGAGAGGTGAGTTCGATCCCTGGGTTAGGAAGATCCCCTGGAGGAGGGCAATTGGCAACCCACTCCAGTACTCTTGCCTGAAGAATCCTGTGGACAGAGGAGCCTGGCAGGCTACAGTCCATAGGGTTGCAAAGAGCTGGACACGACTGAAGCGATTTAGGAGTGAGAGAAAAGGCAGGATCTACATTACAATATATAAGACAGTAAACACTTAATACTGATCTACAGGTGATTTTTGTTTATTCTTTACTAAATTTTTGGTCATGTCTGACATCGTCGAGTCTGTTCAGCAGAGGTTCCTTCGTTTACTTACACAGCTACCGCTGCATTCCAGCATCTTCCACAGTCAGGGTCGGATTTAGCAGGTGGGAAATAAGAACGGGCAAGTGCTGCTGTGGGTCACAAGTTATACCATCTGCTATTTTGAAATGTCAGCTTAACTTGACCACCAAACAGATTCCATCTTTTCATCTTCACTTACATTTAAACTGACTTTCAGTCTGGATGAAGAAGAGTTTCACAGGAGCACCCTTTAGTTGTAGAAAAGGAAAAGGGCAACGACTTGACGGCATAAGCATGCTATTGGAGAAAGCTGGCCTGATGCTCTAATTGTCATAACAGTAAAATAGTCTTGGTTGGCTCAGCATGCTAAAAGCTTTACTTGGATTATCATATTTAGCCCTCTCGGTCATACAGAAGGCAGATACTACTGTTATCTCCATTTTACAGAAAAGGAACCAGCTTCATACAAGTTGAGTCACTTGCCCAAGGTCACACAGCATGAAGTGGAAACAAGCTTCAAATCTGGGCAGTCTCTTTGGGATGTTTGTCTCTCACTAAGTACAAAATATAAGAATGAACACTCGGAGGAAGCAGCATTTTAATCACCATCAACTTTGGTTGACTTGCAACCAGCCCTTCTTTTCAGTTCTTCCTTCTACTTCCGTCTAATAATGTGATGAAAGTTGCTCAGTCTTGTCCGACTCTTTGCGACCCCATGGACTATACAGTCCACGGAATTCCCCAGGCCAGAATACTGGAGTGGGTAGCCTTTCCCTTCTCCAGGGGATCTTCCCAACCCAGGGATCAAACCCAGGTCTCCCGCATTGCAGGCAGATTTTTTTTTTTTTTTTAACCATCTGAGCCACCAGGGAAGCCCCAAAATGCTGAAACGGGGAGCCTATTCCTTCTCCAGTGGCTCTTTCCCACCCAGGAGTTGAACCAGAGTCTCCTGCATTGTATTGTAAAGCATGTTGCATGGCTTAACATATTTGCTGTATATAGCTGAATTTAAGAGGCTTCCCTGGTGGCTCAGATGATAAAGAATCTGCCTGCAATGTAGGAGACCCAGGTTTAAGCCCTGGGTTGGGAAGATCCTCTGGAGAAGGAAATTGCTACCCAGTCCAATATTCTTGGGGCTTCCCTGATAGCTCAGATAGTAAAGAAGCTGACTGAAATGCAGGAGATCCAGGTTCGATTCCTGGGTCAGGAAGATAACCTGGAGAAGGGAATGGCAACACCCTCCAGTGTTCTTGCTGGGAGAATCCCATGGGTGGAGGAGACTGGTGGGCTACTGCCCATGGAGTCGCAAAGAGTCAGACATGACTGAATGGCTAACACATAGATGCACACACACACACACACACACACACACACACACGAGTAGCTTAAATAGGGGCTTCCCAGGTGGCTCAGTGGCAAAGAATCTGCTTGCCAGTGTAGGAGATGCAGGAAATATCTTTTTTTAACTGCTGATCCTGTGTTTTCAGACCTAAAATGGGAATAAATAATGCTTACCTCCTAAGAATGTGAAGATGTATTAAATGAGCTAAGGCATGCAAACAGTACAAAGCCACAGTGTACTTATTATTGCTTATATTATTATTTATATTCATTTGCGTCATAATGGGAGGCAGGGGACTTCCCTGGTGGTCCAAGGGCTAAGACTCTGTGCTCCCAGTGCAGGGAGCCTCGAGGCTCCCAGGGGGCCTGGGTTAGGGAATTAGATCCTGTGTGCTGCAACTAAGACCCAGCACAGCCAAGTAAATAAATATTACCAAAAAAAAAAAAAAAAAGGAAGGCAAGGGTAACCATAGCATAAGCCGTTGAGATTTGACTCTAATACCCACATGCATGCTCTTCTTTCCTCTCTCAATTTTTGGATAATTGATAACAGGCCGTGAAATGATAGGTTATCTTTCTCAAGGGTATTTTACCCATTAAAAGGAGTTTTCTTAATGATTTAAGCTCCAAATGAGTGACCCTCTAATTAAAGGGTTTCATAAATTGTAACTTGCTGTGTTATACTTTGGGGGTATAGACATCACAAAAGTGACTGACTTTTCTCCCTAGGACTTTTCTTTATGTGAATTGCTTACATTAACTTCCTAATATTTTATGGTTTTGTTTTTAAAATCTAGCTCTTTGGCTTATATAAAACTTGTTTTTATGTATATTTGAAAGAAGTCTTCTAAATGTATCTTCTTTTTTTTTCTGAAATGAATAGCCAATTACCAATCTGTTTTGTTTTGATAGTCTTTAATTTTAAAAAATATATGGGTCTATTCTGAATGATTTATTCTCTTCTATTTATCTATTCTGTATTAGTATGCAGTTTCTTAAAAATAGCAATGTTTTAGTTACCCTATTGGGTTGAATATTGTCTCCCCAAATTCATGTCCTTACCTGAACCTCAGAATGTGAATCTATTTGGAAACCATGCTTTTACAGATGTAGTTAGTTAAGAAGAGGTTGTACTGTGTATAGGATGGGCACTTAATTCAACAAGATGATGTCTTTGAAAGCAGATGAGCAGAGCTGTGCAGAGGGAAGATGTGTGATGGGACACAGAAAATTCCATGGACTTCTGAGGCATCATTTGGAGTAATGTATCTGCAAGGAGAGCCAACCATCCTAAAGGAAATCAGTCCTGGGTGTTCATTGGAAGGACTGATGCTGAAGCTGAAACTCCAATACTTTGGCCACCTGATGCAAAGAACTGACTCATTTGAAAAAACCCTGATGCTGGGAAAGATTGAGGGCAGGAGGAGAAGGGGGCGACAGAGGCTGAGATGGCTCAATGGCATCACCGACATGATGGACATGAGTTTGAGTAAACTGCTGGAGTTGGTGATGGACAGGGAGGCCTGGAGGGCTGCAGTCCACGGGGTCACAAAG